AAGAGCGTGGCACACTACCACTCGGCTGTAGCGTTCAAAAACTTCAAACCAGGGCAAGACATCAATCTGCGCAGCCTTATTAAAAAATGCTAACGAGGACACTGGTACAGTGCCTACCTCCTGTAACCTGGAAAATAGCTAAAGGGAGAGCGGTATTTTGATCTCCGTTTCACAGGCGGTTACTGCCGGAGAAAGACGCGGTGACTTGCTCAAGGTGTCCAGCCCGTGGAGCCAGGATCAGACGGTGAATTTCCCAGTCCCAGCCCAGGGCACATCAGGTTCCTCACCACGTTCAGATTTACTTTACTAAGCTCTACTGTACTGCCTGCACCTCTTGCTGTTAACTTTTTCCACTTCCTTTAAAAAAGCAACAAGCCTCAAAGCAAACAATAAAGAAAAAACAATCACTAGCAGAATACTCCTACACCCCGGAGATGTAAGGAATACCCACGGCTGGGGGCTACAAACACAGCAGCAGCAGCTACGTGAACAACCAGAGATGCTCTCTCTTTAAATCAAGCCATTTTCCCTCCTCCATCTGTGTTTTGTTTGTATAATCTCCTATTATCAGTTTTATTAAATCTTAGCCAAGCAGAAGAATTCAACTGCTTTGAATTTTTACATATTTTGTCACCCCTGTTACTAAGCGAGCGGGTAACAGGTACATACATTTTTCTAGATGATAACGAAGTTTGTTTTGAAAACAAACATTTCCCTGTAAAGGGAAATGATGAGAGTTTAAAAACCAGCAGCTGTTACAAAAGGTGGCAAAGAAAGTAAATTCTAGCCCACTAAAGTGGTAATGTAAGAGACAGCTTTATCAAATCAAAGCCATGATAATACTGCTATTCCTCTGGCTCCTCACCACCTACACGGCAAATCACAGCAAGTAACTCGGGCCAGAAAAGGTGTTTGTCAACAAAACGGTGTTGCCAAATAACTGGGCAGGCAGTAAATCACCTTGCCTTTTCTCCCGTCCTTTTTCATAGCCAATTACAGACGCTGATTGACAGTTGCCAGAATCTGTTGCTGCCTGCTGCACATAAACACTAATTGCTAAAACACACGCAGATTAATTGTAACCACAACAAGACATTAAACGTTCCTCAAAAGCCAAGATTAGAGACAGACAGTGCAACAGAGGCTTCAGAGCTTCCAGTATTTATAGCTGATGTAACCTAATCAAATACACATTACGGCAAAATAAATATCCACTTAGTCACATAAGTACTAAAATACTCTCAGTACACCAAAACCCCAAAATGCATGAAGCTCCTCTTCACGGCGCCTCCAAAACCACTTCTCTCTCTTCTCTAGAATACAGCTTCTTTTAACAAGATCTAGCCAAAGAATTATATGAATCAAAAGTATCCATCACTGCCCAGTAACCTAAACTGTTTACTACAGTGCTTCAACAGTACGTAAACCAAGCTGTAGTAAATGAGCTTCTATTTTGCAATTATTCAAGGCAACGGGTCACGTGGCAGCCCGAGAGCTCCATCCAACTCCTCCACATCTCATTTTTCACACCGCTGAGACAGTCCCTGCGACTGCACGGATTCCAGGCACCGCTCGCAGGAAATCCCGATCGGGGCAGCGAGCTAAACAGGGGATTAATGCTGCTCTAAAAAACCGAGCTCATTAGTCTCTTCAGAAAATAATTATTTTGCAGTTATGCTATTACACCAGCCTGCTTTCCAAAACACATACGCTTTAGAAAAGCTTTAGTAGTTTGTTGACTTGGATGAATATTTTTTTTTGTCATTGTTTTTATTTTCAAATAAAACACAGGGAATATTTTTTCAGTTTCGGCAACAGTATTTCCATGCATCCCTGAAACTCCAAAAGCAACCTTTAACTGCTAAAGTTCTTATTTACACATGAAAGCCTGCAGTAAAAGGAATATACCAAGCCCAATGACAAGCACCTTCTCACAGACATCGCGCATCCCAGCTGAGCACGGCACGACAAAACGCACTTCACTCCCAACCACACCGACCGGGCGGGCTTTAAGAGCTCTGCGCAGAAATTTGTACTCGGGTAGAACAAAACTGAACTGTATGCTTGCTCTGCAAGGGAAGTGCAGCCACAGGAAACTCGTTTGCTTTGCTACGCTACGCAAAGCCCAAATCCAGATCAGAAATCCCATTTATTCAGCAGGCATGCCACTACTACCATAAAAAAAAAAATAATTACCTGAAAGTCACATAAACTGAGCTCCTGTCACAAACCCAGGTATGAGAAAACCAAGTTGTACCAGTCAAAAAAATCAAGAAGTGCTACAGACATCTGCCAGTCCCTTGGGAAGGGCTACGGGAGAAATAAGATCTAGGAGAAAAATTGACAGTAAAAAGCATTAAACCTAGTCAAACAACTGAAAAAATACATATGCCATCTCAGAAAGACCAAGGAAAAGCTTCTCCATTTTAAAGAATCCATCTGAGTACCTTAATTAATTACTTTAATACACAAAAGAATTTTTTTCTTGGATTTCTTCTCCCTACTTCAGACACTTTTCCTCATCACAGCTTAAACTCAGCCGTCACCAAGCTACCTCCTCAGTGCCTGCTTCTCTCACACCACTTATTTCTTGTTTGTACTGTGTTTTTACCTTCTCAGTAAACCCCCAGTCGTGTTTTCTGTTGTTTCCCAGACTTCCAATGCTTTATTCTCTTTCATAAATTGTTTTTTTCAATAATTTTTTCCTCTTTCAACTTCTATTCCTGCTCTCTCATGTACATAGCTGAACATCTTCTAGAAATCTGTAGCTGGAGGACCAAGCCCATGAGAAGAGGGAAAGGCGTGAACAAAAGCCATACAAGCCTACATCTGCTGCTGGAAAATTCAAAGCAGAAACAAACTCTTCCCCAAGAACTAAAGGCAATGTTTTGCCAGGTCGCTACTCCTCAATATCGCTCTTTTCATTACAGTCTCAAGGTAAGTGGAGATCCAAGAAGTCTGTCATCTTCTCTTCAAAGTCCCTTTCTGTTTGGCA